TATTTCATCATCCTCTCGCTACCTTTCTTGGTAGTACGCATCTATCTCATCCTCTCGCTAGTCTATGTATAGTATGGGGGAACACCAACCAACCCGGATCTCTCCCCAGCCCACGGGGTAGGTTGGCACCACAGCTGTGGTGCGAGAGCAAGGCTGTACCAGTCCCTCATCACGGTGATGACGGGTGGGCAGGCATTGCCTATACGGTAAATCGGCGGTGCTAGCGCCGAGCAATGGCCAGTCACTGCACCTCCCCCTACCCCCCCCCAAAAAAAAAGACTCCACATTTGCGGTGTCTAATGGCCAATATTGTCGCTGCATAGCAGCCAACAACATCAGCCAAATGCTGGCTTGGAGGGGCAACGGGTGATCTCTAGCTGGTAGAACACCAAGCCAACAACATCAGCCAAGGTCCTGCCAACGCAGGGCTTGGGGGGCCAACGGGTTATCTCTAGCTGGTAGAACACCAAGCCAACGACATCAGCCAAGGTCCTGCCAACGCTGGCTTGGGGGGCCAACGGGTTATCTCTAGCTGGTAGAACACCAAGCTTGCCCAGGCACATACATACGTGAGGACAATGGGAATTGAACCCACGACCTCCTGCAACTTCTTCTGTGCCTTACCAGCTGAGCTAGGGCCGGGCCTCGCTGCACTACTCCCCTTTTGTCACCGGCAAGTGTCCTATGGTGGGACCGTGTGCCCTTGTTGCTCGCATTCTCTTTTTTTTCTTTTTTTTTTCCCTCTCATTTTCTGTCTTTTTTTTTCTTTTTTTTTCTCCCTCCCCGTTTTCTCTCTGTGTGTCGTTTGTGCTGTTCACACAACTTCACAGGCAGTTCGCTCTGTTCTGGCTTGTGTAGTTTTGTCGTTTTCTTTTCCGCTTCCTCTGCGCAGCAGCCTGTCGGCCCCCGCCTGCCCTCAGCAGGCCAGGGCCGAGGTCCCACTAGCAACGAGGATCGGATCGAATGCCTGAATCTGGATGTGTTTTATGCAGAGATGCAGAAAAGCAGTTCAATCTCGATTTCTTGCACCTCTCGCCAAACACGTCCAGATTCAGGCATTCGATCCTATCCTCTCTGGTGGTGGAACACGCCCCAGCAGTCTGTCTGTCTGTTGGATGGAGCACAGACAGCTGGGACAGGGGCAACTTTTTTGTTTTTGTTTTTTTTTTCTGAATAATCTATGTTCTTCTCTCACATCAATGGGCCTAAAAAAAAAAAAAGAAAAAAAAAAAGGGCCTACGGTAGTTGCAGGGAGGAGGGAGGGGAGGGAGAAAAAAAGAAAAAAGAAAGGCCTTGGTACTTGCACCACTCCGCCATCTGCCAAGGTTTTGGATGCAGCTGGACAGCCTAACCGTCCAGGTTTATTCGGAATCTTTGTGGATGGATGGCAAGCGGTGCAACTACTGTAGGTAGGCCTCCTGTAGTCTTTCTGTGGATGGGCCTCGCTCCACTACTTTCTTTTTTTTTTTTTTTTTTTTTTTTTTTTTCGAACAGCCCGAGACATGCACACAGAAGACAGAAAATATGGCAATGTATCTTTTCAGATTTTAGCGGAGGATTCATTCAGTCTCACTTCGCACATTTTGAGAGCAGTGGAGTGAGGCCCTATAAATCGTCAAACAGGACAGGACTGACCCCTAAACCGTAGGCAGTGAGGGAAAAGACGGCAACAAACGACGGGCTGTGACACCCTCTCGCTACTCTTCCTCATCTATGTTGTCGCTCGCCATCTGCCAAGATTTTGAATTGCATGCACATGGACAGACCCATTGTCCAGGTTTATCCATATCTTGGTGCATGGCCAGTGGTGGTGCAACTAGGCCTAATCTCTCTGTACTCTGTACTTTTGTTTTTTTTTACATAAACATACATAATATTCTTCCTCAATTCCTCAACTACCTCATTCTCTTGCTACTTTCTATATTTCCTTATATATATATATATATATATATATATCGTCAAATATATATATATATATATTCCCTCAATTTCCCTCATCTATCCCATCCCAATCCTCTCGGTACTCTCTCTGTGTAGAGTACAGACGTCCGCGGGGAATGCACGGACTTGTGATCTGCAATTTGTTCACAATCAGACGCTGGCCGGATAGGAGGGTGAGGGGCAGCCTGAGGAGAGATTGAGGGGCTAAGGTCGAGACGGACTGTGGCAAGGAGAGGGCAGGCCAGGAGGAGAGGAGGAGAGCGGAGTAGAGGAGAGGAAAGGAGAGGAGAGGGAGACTGGTGAGGAAGGGCCAACCGCGGAAGAGCGGGCTTTTTCCGTCTGTTCATTAGTTAGTGATCAGATTGTGTGGCTTCTGTTCGTCCCCACTTCCCCCTTCTTTTCTCTATCCCTCCGTGGTGTGTGTGCGGTGGGTTGGCTCCCCATCGCCATCGCCATAACTTGCGGCTGGGAGGGAGAAGAAGGGCAGGGAGGAGAGTGTGGAGGGAAGAGGTGGGAGAGTGGGAGAGTCGAGAGTCGAGAGTCGAGCGCCGCCGCTTCCTCAGACTAAGTAGTAGTACCGCAGCTGCGGCGCGAAGCATGGAGGCTGTCATGGCCAACATGGCGCAGGCCGCCGTCGCCCAGGCGGGCATCGCGCGTGTCGCTCCTTCTTCCTCCTTGCGCGCCGCGGCTGGCAATGGCGCGAAGTCCGCGGCTATGGCGGGGGGCGCTGCGCGGCGCAGCGCGAAGGCGACGGCTCTCGGCAATTTCGTGGGTCTGCGCCGCACAGCCGACGCAGATGTGGCATCGCTTACCGCGGCGTTCTCCGTCGCCGCCACCGCTCCCGCTTCTTCTTCGCGGCGGAGTGCGCGCGCCCCCGTCTCCGTGAAGGCAAATGTGGCGGAAGTCAAGTCAGCTCCCGCCACCGACCTAGCCCTCATCGACAAGTGCATCAATGCCATTCGTTTTCTGGCCATTGATGCTGTGGAGAAGGCCAAGTCTGGGCATCCGGGATTGCCCATGGGAGCGGCACCCATGGGGTATATTCTCTACGACGAGGTGATGAAATTCAACCCCAAGAACCCCAAATGGTTCAACAGGGACAGGTTTGTCCTCTCTGCAGGCCACGGCTGTATGCTCCAGTACGCGCTTATGCATCTCACGGGATTCGACAGTGTCCAGGTACGGACGAATCGGATTCCTCTTACACATGCCCCTTTTTCCCCTTTTTCTGTTTTTGACGGAACCCTTTTTCCCCTTCTATTCCTCTCCGTTTTCGGTATTTTTGGTCGTCATGTGAAGAAGTGCCCTGTTATATCTCTGGACACTTCTGCGAACGGTGAGTGTGTGCAGCTTCTCTCTCTCTCTCTCTCTCTCTCTCTCTCTCTCTCTCTCTCTCTCTCTCTCTCTCTCTCTCTCTCT